GTTGTGCAGGTTTTTTTTTTTTTTTTTTAGAATCATCACAGCAAACCAGCAAAAGCCAAAGAACTTTGCACAATTTTCCCCCCCAAGCTAACTGAGTTGATTAATGTTCAGTCTTTCCTCGACACATATGTAGACCTTCAGGACATTTTGCACATATAAATAGTTGCCGAGTTTCATGTAAAGAGTGTCTCGGACTCGCATCTCATTGGCTCTTCATAAGATTTGTAATTCTGTCATGTTGTCGATCCTCTAGTGGCTCAAAAGGTCCTGAAGCTCCCTGGTTGCCGTGTGTCCTGTGAAGACAAAACCTTGAATGTGAAACCAAAAGGACTCGCCTTGGAAACATCTGTGAAGTTTGAGGTATGTAATAAAATCCAGGTTTACCAATAAACCGGAACCACTGATGAATTATCGATGATTGAAATCTTTGCACATTTGTTGAGTGATTTTAAACAAACATGAAAAACAAATGTTTCTTTTTAAAATCACAATGAAAATACCAACAAATTCCAATTATTTTTTATTAATCTTGAGTGACCATCAATCTGCTCACTCCACCGCTTTTTAAAAAACGTTTTGAGAGGGTGATGGCATCACATGCTTCCTGAAAGAGACATTTTAGTGATATATTTGCTCACAGCTGTCCATAACAAATCGAACTCAGTCCTTCCTTGTGTAATTGCTGAACCTAGAGGTCACTAGAGAGAAAACGTATGTGGTGTTAATTCAGATGCTTCTGGTTCAGCTGCACTTTTTAGAAAAACTGACAACTGGCATTTAGACACTGAGTGAAGGGCTCTTATGATGGCGGTTAAATCATTTCCTCAGGGTTTGCTATGCCGTAAAAAGACAGATGGTTAGATGGACAGAGGTGTACGCTGACATTATAGATGTTGTTGAATATAATCTATAATTCACACACTCACTGAGATTTTGCCCTCACTTCTTCCCTTTTTGTTAATTATCACTCGTTTTGCTTTGCTCATTCTGCCAGCCAACATCTAACATCTTTGAGGGCGATGCACTGAAGTCTGACTACGTACAATACATAAAATGTGAACATAGTGTAAATATTGTCATTACCACTCAAACATTGCATTGTGAAATAACTGTTTTTTTTGCAATACCTTTGTTTTATCTGTGGAGGTCCATATGGATGTGTCCAGAAAAGAGCTGAAAGTATCCAACATCCCCCCTGCCATGCCGCAGGACAGAACGGAGGACCGTCTGGAGATCAGCTTTTCCAGACCAACCAGGGGAGGAGGAGAAGTGGAGAGTGTGGATTATGATGTCAAGACTGGAACTGGGTCCATTACATTTTTGAAACCTGGAGGTATTGCTGTCAGGGTCACACACACACTGAGATGTAGGAAAATGCCAAAACAACCTGTGTGTCCTTCGTTTCCCATTTACCTTGAAGCAAGTCATAAGGCATGGCACTCAGAATTACTGTCTGAGTGTCAACCTGTGACCCAACAGATTTACTTAGATTCAGCGATAGAACCAAAACTTGACAGATCAATAATTTAGTGCTACAAGGTAAATGTTTTTTTTTTTTTTTCTTTTTAACCCCAAAATTTCTAGAAGTTTGAGACTGAGACCATGCCATAGATACTCTAAAGTTATTTTAATCAGTGAAAAGAATCTTATTAAAATACCTATTAATAGGTTGTGTCTGAATGGACACAATCCATTCATTCACAATTTTGAGTTAATGATGAATTCCATGCTGAAATGTTGTCTGTGTGTGTGTGTGTGTGTGTGCATGTGTGTGTGTGCGTGTGTGTGTGTGTAGTTGCCTGGAGGTTGGCCAGAAAAGGAGTGTACAAAGTAAATCTTGAATCTGAAGTTAATGTCAAGGTTGGACCAGCGTATGACTTCAAGTTGGAGAAATTTCAAGTAAGAGACAAAACACACTGGAAAAGCAGCTTCTGGTCACTCATGTTCCAAGCTAGTCACATGGACGCGCCACTCCCCGTTGGTAGAATTGGTCTTCAAAATAAAAGTCTTGCTACGGTAGTAATTCTAAATATTAATTGATTGGTCAAGTCTGTATTATGTTCATCTGTATAATTACTCATTCGCATAAACAGAACATCTGCCCTACTCCAGATGTTGGTCTCCCCATTGGTGCCTACTTCATGTCACTCCACAACCACAACTCTAATCAATGCTTTGAAATTCTTGGGCACCATATGTCCCGCATCATTATGCAAGCTGATCTCATGTCTGTTATTCATTGCAGACATCATGCGGTTCATCGAGGCGAACCATTCTTCTGGAAGGCATCGATGATGTGGAGGATGAGGAGGACCTGCAGGACCACCTGGAAATTCATTTCCAGAAGCCCAACAACAGCGGTGGCGAAATTGAAAACATCAAGTATATTGCTAAGGGAAAGTCTCTCCAGGCATTTTTCAGTGAGGACAAAGTAGACACAACCAACTAAAGTTGGCTGGAAGTGGTCATCTTCAGCAACATTCAGGAGAATAGGAAGAGCCTGACTCCATGGTCTGTTCAGTGGTAAAAGCAGAAAATCTTTTTACTTTTGACACTTGGAAATGTTATTTGGTTACGGTGATATTTTATTTATGTTCTGGGAAAGCGGGTTTGATTTTAGCATATATAAATTACTATGCTTACACAATCTGTAGACATGAACTGGGTTTCCAGAAAGAAACTATGTTCAGTCACCGTGTATCTCAACTCTGATGAGCTAAAATTACATCTCTGGAATATTGATCTTAATGTAATTCATGACATAACAGGTATTGGTAGCCAGTTTCTAAAGTGTTTTAAGAACACTTCAGCACTAATTTAAGAATAAATTATGTATCATATGAATATATGGTGGTAAATTACCCTCACTAGAGATGACAGGTATTTTGCATACTGTGTAAAAAGCAAAGATCAGACTTTTTGTCTGGGTCATCACTAAGGTTTAAGCTTCTGCTTGTTATTGTCTCTTCTGCCCTGTTTATGATGCCTATTAAAATATAAAAACTACGTCAGTGGAATTGGTTTTGTGTGTCTTTTACTTTTGACTTCAAAGTTCAAGGAATGACTTATCATTCCTTCAAATGATAACACTCCTATTTGCCAGAGGAAAAAAAAACAGGTAACCTATAATGACAGAAAATGTATGTTTTGTTTTTGCTTGAGCTCAAAAATTCTCAAGATCTCCTTTTTTCCCCCTTTCTTTTAATGGCTGGTTTCTCTAATATATGTTGAACTCCTCCACCTACATAATCATTCCTTGTTATCTAAAAAAAAACACTGCTTTGACCACCTATTAGCTGATTGTCCTTAATTTAGTATCCAAACCACAAGAGGATACATATTTTAATTACTTTTAACAACTGTTTGCATCCATAATGTTAAGACATTCATTCAAAGGAAGGGAAGTGCATCAAGGTGGTAATTTAAATCAGTCTATACAAATATCATGCAGGATTTTTGGCACATTACGTGTGTCGCACGCAAACATTAACTATAGAGTAAAATTTAAAACATAGTCACAGTTCATGCAATCGTTTCTCGACAGCCACGAGCTCAGACCTCTCTGGACAAAGCAGGTACAAGGTACTAGTTTCTACCAGGATAGGAGTGACTGAAACGGGTCTGAGGATGCTCCAGTCCTGCTGTGTGTACATAGAGCTGAGGCTCCAGCTGGATTAAGGCTGGGAGGTATATTTCATGAGGGAGAAATATACTCTGTTCTCCAGTATGACATACTGATGGTATAAACACTTTTGTACTAATGAGACGCAGCTTTAATTATCCATAAATCCCGATGATATCCCTCCCCCAGCTTTGTCCCATATCCTTGTTAGTATTAAATTGGCCTGATAAGCAAAAGAACCAATTGTGTTATTTTTGATCAGGACATGTTATTTTAATCTATGCAGTATTCTACGGTTTCATATTTTCTCCTTCAGAATACTGACGGAATTATAAATATCCTATGAAGATAAAACTATTCCATGCATTGTTGACTTCCAGACGGGACTAATTCTTTACTATCAGGAAGTCCATAAAACACAGCTAGAAGTCTTCAGCTGATAAAAAGCGACGCAGCAAGAGTTCTGAAGAAAATTAAAAGGATAGATCATATTTCTGTGTAAAATATCAGGAACCACACTCCATACCAGTAGGTGGCGGTAATGCTACTAAAAGTTTTTTGCCAACCGCCAATAAAACCACGAAGAAGAAGCAGCAGCAGCAGCAGAAGCAGCAGCAGAAGAAGACGACACTACTGCTACTATTATTGCTGATGTCACAGCAAATTGAACACGTAGACATTAGAAACTAAATATTCAGCGATGCTTTGGTTTGAGGGATCCATTCCTGAGGCCATAAACTCTGCTAAACAACGCAGTTTGGTCTTTGTCGTTGTCATTGCAGGTAACTGTGGTAAAATAACTGTAAACGGACGTTGTTGTGAGAACGACGCTTATTAGCAAGCGACCTCTCGGTGTTTGACAAACTCGTTCCAACGTTTCGCTGTTGTTTGTTAGAACCGGTTGGTTTTAATGCTGCTTCTAGTTTGCCTCGGAAATCAATTAGACACGAGAATGACGTCAAATCCAGCTTAAACTTATTAAAGCAGCAGGTGAACCAGCTGGCTTTGCTTGTTTTGATTTTACTCGGAAACATGGCTACCAACCAGCCAACGCAAGCCGCCAACCACGAATTTCTTTAGAACTATGGCTTTCAAACACCGGGGAAGACTTTCCCTTTCGGAAGGTGTACAGTTCGTTAAGTTTGAGCAATTTAATGCAACATCTCATAAAATTCAAGTATTATGAAAAAGTTCCACATATTTTGTCCCTCATTCAGAGAGTGAAACGGATGGAGTGAGATATTTAGATCCTTTATTTTTTTTTAAATGTTCAGATAATGAAAACACAAAACCTGACTGAATCTTTTTTAGTGTGGTGTTCACCTCCATTGTGTGACTTGCTGTGGTTCTTAAACTGACAGACTTCATAGAGAGGAACCCAGTTGGGTCTTTTCCCAGCGCTGAACTTGAGTTTTGGTGTTACGACCAGATTGTTTTCCCACATTTTTGTCAGATGCTTATATTAAAGCTGTTTAGGGACGACCATTGTAATATGTTGTTTATACAATTGTTTTACAGAAATAAAGCTTTAAATATGTTTTTGCATTTTGCTGGAATCTTTTGTGATAGGCGACCACAAAGTGGAGCGTAATTTTGAAGATGCATGGTTGTATGTTTAGATTTGTTGACCTAGACTTTAGGTCAAAAAACGTTTTTTCCATCTTTCTATTGGCTCTGATCAAGCTAAGCAGCAATTCTGTTCCGCAAAAGTGAATTAATTTTAGTTTAATATAATTCTTTTAAGCTTTATTAATCCAGCTGCCTCCACAAAGTGAAACATGAGTCCATATGACTGACAGTTCTAGTTTGAATTCAGTTCAACAGGAAGATGATTCCAAACGCAGGAGAAAATCTACAACACGATATGATAAAACAATACCCCAGTCAGATCTCTGTGGACTTACAACTGAAGAGTTGCACCTCAAAAAAAAAGAGAGCCGGCCAAAGCCTAGACCAGATCTAGTAAAGGCCAGATGAGTTATGACTGGATATGTAGAACAGTAACATTCTTTTTTCCCCCCTCAACTGTTTGCTTGTTACTTGTATAAAACACATTTGTGTCTATTTGAGGAGGACGACAGGTCTGTGTCGTCATGATGTAAAGTACAGTTTACATGTAAAGTTATTAGATGTCTGATTTTACTCTGTCAGGGGAAGATGAACAGTCTCAGCAGCTGATGTCCAGTTGGGAAGACGGCGGCGTTTCAGAGGCTGCCCAGAACTGCTGCGTGGCCATCAGGGTCGATGCCAAGAGGTACTGATTAGTTCTCTGCTGTGTGTACAACAGCTTCAGTTAGTTTGTTAAAACAGCTATGTAAAACCTCAAATTTGATTATCACAGTAATTGTCTGACCTTTGAACGCTGCCATGTTCATAAAACATTGGCTTGGAGCTTATACAACCTGGTGTGATGTACAGGCGTTTTATTTTATCTCAATAGATGTTACTAAACAGTCCGTACAAATTCAAAATGCTCTAATGTATATTTTATTCCTCATGGAATCACTTTCTCTTCACAGTGACACTTGTGTCCAGTTTTCCCAGATCTGTATCCTTTGTTGCTGTGTATGTGTTGTACATATATTGTAACTATATTTATATCTAAGTGCAGGACTTTGGTAAAGCTTGTGTTCCTTCATTAGCCTGTTATAGATCCCGTAGTATGCATACCGTCTAGCTTCTTCATCGGGGTGACTGGGATTCCTCTGGAGGTCGTTGCTGGAAGTGTGTCTCCTGATGAACTGATGAAGAGAATCAACAAAGTAAAAAAGGTAAATTCACCCTGTAACGCTGGCATCTTTTCAACACATTATATTAAAAAGACGGCTTGATGAAAATCAACAAATAGGTTAACTAAAACCAAATGTAGAGTATTTGGTAGCTGGAGGGTCGACAGAAAACTTAAAAAAAAAAGGAACAATGGCTAAGTTCACGCAGCAGGTCTTGATCAATCAATCACATTTTATTTGTATAGCACATTTCAACAGCAAGGCATTTCAAGGTGCTATACATAATTAAAGAAGAAATAAAAACAGTATTTGATGCTTAATTTTGATTTTTTTTTTTTCCTGAATTTTTTTTTTTGTCTGGTCATTGATATTATTAATTAAATGTGACTGTAATCATTTCATGTGAATAATATACGACCCCAAAGCAAGCAGCATGCACAGACGAACAGTGTAGATGTCAGACGGCATCCATTCAGCCTTAAATGTTCTCATTTAAGACTGATAGGAACATTTATCAGCCTTAAATAAAGGCTGATAAATGTTCCCCTTGCAAAAAATAAATAAGAAAAACAAAAAGTAAATGAAAACTTTTCTGTTTTTATATTGGTTTATTGATAGATTGGTCTCTAATTTCCCATCAGAAACAAACTTCTTTGTAAATTAAAGACATTTAAACTGTAGTCTCAGGTGGATGTGTAACTTGGGCTTTCAACTGTAGATTCAATAAACCAGACACTAACAAGATCTAGCCAGGTCTAAGTTTGGTAGACTTTAAGTCACAAACCTTTTAAGCCTAATTATCTGCTTTAGCAGATGGAAATCGATGAGAATGACTAACGTAGGACAGAATGACAGACAGTAAAACAATTACCGTATTTAACAACACTTTAATATTATCATCCCTTTTCCTTCAGCACCTCTGTGCTTAAAGAACCAGTATTGTGATTACAGATGTAAACTGTAATCAGAACAGCTTAAAACTGTTCAGCATTTGCCATATGATAGCAAATGTTAGGGTTTTAAAAATAACCTTATATAAAAAACACTGGTTTATTAGGAACTAACTGCTTGTGGAGTTTGTGGATGAATCTATGCCACATGAAAATGGCAAAACAATTCTCACTGCAGAGATTTTAATGTATTTTATTTAACTTGGGTAACATGAATATGAAAACTAAACATATGAACAACTCTTTTTCTCTAATTGCCTTTAAGAAGCTGAATCTATAAAATGTTTTACGCATTTTCCTGTTTTCTTGTAGATGCACTGTCAAGGAGTAGAAGCTACTGCTGCAACAGATGCACAGGACTCTTTGGAGACCAGAGCACCTGATGGCACAGCCACAGATCCTGCCTCAGCTCCAGCAGTGCCTGTTGGGCTGGAAATGATCAGTGATGAACCTGAAGAGGCTCCAGCTGCAACAAAAGGTGTGAATGATTGCTCACTCATTCTGCTGCATACATCACGATGTCACCAGGTGGCTCAGAACCCATCCAGTCACTGAACACATAAATGTTCTAAGCATCTCCAGCTGAACAGAAACAAAACTGAAGTTATTATTATCTGGTCCACTCTGCAACCTCAGTTCCTTTAAATCAAGGCTAAACCCACTTCAAGTTGTTTTTAATATCATTAATGGGACATTGACCAATATATTTGATGTAC